TTTAACATCATTCGGGGCTTTCTCATTTGTGTAGGGATTTGTTCCCTTCCTCGTGAGTGCCACGGCCGGAACCACCGTGTATGGCGCGTTCGATCCCCTCTTGGCTGTCGCTGACATTTGCAAAAAGTATAAGATCTGGATGCATGTGGATGTGAGTACCCCTTAGGGACCGGCCTCCAAAATGTTCTTGCATAGTTTTCATCTGGGGCTCACAGAATCAAATTTGGTTTTTCTTTTTTTTACTTTATCAGCTTATTTACAGAATAGTGATATTTAAGCTTTTAAAGATTGCAGAGACAAATTAGCACACAACTCACACAGGACACAGGCTGAGGCTGATTATGCCCTAATGTTCCCAACATGGTAATGTTTTTATTTCTATGACCAGCCCCTGAGCTGAGCACTTGGTCCTCAGTTCACTGAGCCATCGCCTCCACGGAGGAATAGTCGACAACAGTCACACACGGAGATCAGATCTTCCTCCCTTGCAGGATGGATCAGAAGGGCAAAACGGAGTTGCATTTATTTAGGAAACTCAGAGGATACAAAACTGAAGCTCAGGTTAGGTATTCATGCATTTGGGGAGGAAAATGGACTTGACAACTTACTGAGAAATATGGACCACCAAATTTCCAGTTTCTTAGCTTGGTCAGCTAAGAAGATAAATTATATTTGAGATATTTTGACTCCAGACCTAGTCACACCAAAAATACTACTACTACTACTAATAATAATAATGATGGAGGTGTGGCCCACTGGAACATTTTCAAATGAAAAATAGCCAGTTCTTAGAAGGATGGATTGAAATATTTAAGTTTAGGTCAGTGTTACTTAAAGTGTGGTTTGCAGATCAGCTGCCATCTGCGAACTCTTCGTGATCCATGTTGAGATAAGGAATTTGTGCCAAACCATCACTAATCCCCAACCATCACAAACTAAGTACAATGTCTGGTGCAGCTGATATTTTTTCATTGCGAGACGTTGTCGGTGAAGGAATGCACAAGGTGACGTACATTCTGGTGCGAGATCCCTGCGTAACTGTGGGCCAGCACTTGGAGGAGCAGCGCCGTAGGTCACTTTGGCTTAGCACAATAAGTACTCAGACCAATGAATTCCCCTTTCTTCAGAAGCAGAAAACGTCCGCAGGCTAAGCTGTGTGCATTTCCATTCGTTCCAGAGTTATCCTGCAGAACAGTCACCAATATTCTTTTCCTTCCCTGATTCACTGTGTGAGTTGTTCGTTAGGCGACCACAGACCCCTTCTTTGTACACATGAAGACACTGATTGAACAACTCAGGTACCATCACTGCTGGGTCTCAGAACTGGAAAGCCTGCTAGACTCTGCTGGCCGATTCATGACAACGATCACCAGACAACTTTAAAAATAAGAATATTTGTGTCTCCTGACGCAGCAGATGTTGTGGTCTTTCTTTTCTACTTAAACTAGAACAAGGGGATCTTTTAACCAGTTGTATCAGCTTTTCGTTGAAACCCATCAGGTTTACCATTTATTCTTATTAGCTTTAACATTCATACATTCTATAAATAAATTAGAAAAAAACCTTAATATGGCATACATTTAGAAAATCAAATGATTTTTCAAAGGGTAAAAGAACTGAAATTACAACAAAGAGGAAAAAAGTGATTATATCATA